ATGTTTGCTGGAATCTGAGTGGTTACTAAGTGCTACATATTTGCTGGAATCTGAGTGGTTACTAAGTGCTACATATTTGCTGGAATCTGAGTGGTTACTAAGTGCTACATATTTGCTGGAATCGGCGTGGCTGCTAAATGCTACATATTTGCTGGAATCGGAGTGGCTGCTAAATGCTAAATGTTTTCTGAAGCTGGAATGACTGACAAATACTAAGTGATTTCTGCAGTTGCAGTGGCGCCTAAATGCACTGCCATCTTGGATCTGGATTTTTAATCCCTCTATTTTGCCTTCACCTGTCTGCACTGGAAAAAGATGTGGGCAGATGTTAGTGTAATTCCCAGTCTCTGGTGGGGGCGGTTAATGCCTCTCATGTGACACCCTATGAATAATTTCTGCACTGGAACCATTCTGACCATACTCATCTCTGGATGTGTTGTCCCCAGATTCCACAAATCAGCTACGCTTCCACCGCCCCGGAGCTGAGCGACGACCGACGCTACGACTTCTTCTCCCGTGTGGTGCCCCCCGACTCATATCAGGCCCAGGCGATGGTGGATATCGTGAAGGCCATGGGATGGAACTACGTGTCTGCAGTGGCTTCCGAGGGCAACTACGGCGAAAAAGGGGTGGAAGCTTTCATGCAGCTCTCTCGCGAAGCAGGTGAGTGGAGGGACACCAGTGTTATTAACAGGAAGCAAGTCGAGCTGGAAGGCTATTCAAAATGTACCAAAATCATTTCGGTTATTACAGCAAATGCAATAAACACCACTGAGGCTAGGACAGCATCAATCACAAGCTGTAACAAAACTGTATGAGCCCTGGTGAAAAGGCTGCATGGATGTATCTCTGTAATATATATATATTTCTGACGTGTAACGTACTTCAAAAAAATAAAATCGTTAATTTGTCAGGTTTACACAATGCAACATGAAAGTCATGGGGTTGAATCTGAATATGACTGGTACAAGAGCCATGTTCACAAATACCCAGGAGCATGATGGGTAAAAGCACATAATCCCTGAAGAGCAGTGACTCTAAAAGATGACATAAAGCACAGTGGAGCTGCTTGCTGCAGATATATTTTCTCATATTGCATGCAGCTTGAAGTTTCTTTTTTTTTTTTTTATCCGAGTCCCTGGCAAAGAGTCTGAATTTCAGCAACAGTGTGTTTCTTTTATTGTCCTAGGAAAGCTATTTGATCTCTCAAAGGGAAAATCCTGACATTCGGTACAATTTATATCTAAATTTGCTATATGTCTTCCAACGCATAGATGGTGACTCTGAACCAAATTTATCTCTGGGGTGAAAGCCCATTGATGACTGAAACACCTTGACCAGCCTCGTGACTATGACATCGCAGTCCATGTCTTGCACGAGACACTGTTCTTAGCTATCGGGTAACTTGTGACCCAGTCGGATTCCAAAAGCCCCATATCCATTAAGATTAGGTACTGGCAGGTAAAATTGACAGAGATTAGATTTAATAAGTCAGAATGTTGTACTTTGATACAAAATAAGGACACAAAAATTTGAAGTTGTTATCTTTAATGGTTTCAGAGACGTGGGGCCGCCTGACCTGATGGGCAGGGACCTCGCTTTCATTTCCGCACTCATTGATTGTAGGATTTTACTACGAATCTCCTGAAAAAGTTCGTTTTTTCAGCTTTACCTTGCCTCTTATTTTACTGGGTTTTTGTAGGCTTCTGTGAGATAACTGAGGGTGAAATTGACCAATATTTTTGGTCGAACAAATGAAACATCGTTGCATTTCAACAGACAATTTCAGTGCAACTTTTGAAAGAAATACTGTAACAGCAAGGCATTATGGCAAACAAAGTTTAGTTGGGGAGAAGAGTAAGAAATATCCTTTATTTTCACAGAAAAAAATTTAAATGTGACATTTCTGGACAGAGAAATGATAAGTTGAATTTTAAGCATTTTGCACCAGTTTTTACGCTCTCCTCCGGTCTACAAATAGCAAGTTGAGGGAGGCGTAAAAAGAATTTCCCCATGGGGATTAATGAAAGTGTCAATTATTATTATTATTATTATTATTAATATGGTACCTTCCAGTACCTATCAAACTACACTAGCCCTCCATTTCCTGAGTTTATACCAATGAGTTTGGGGCGCATGTCTGTAAATGATGATGTTCGGGTTTACTCCCACAAACAAGCCTCTCTAATCAGCCACTGGAGTCAACATCGGCTGCCATGTGTTGGGCCACTAGTCCAGAATTACATCCACACCGAGCTGTGAATGCCAATGCCAATATGCGTATAATTCATCAAACCTCCTGGCTTCTCCGTGATCTCTCTTACTTATCAGGTAATTCATTAATAGGCTAAGTAGGGAAAAAAAACTATCAAAGAGCTCAAGCAAGCTGTTACTACAACGATGTCCCCAGCTGGTGTGCGGTGTGAAGCTCGGAAATTAAAGCTTAACCGAAACGGCAGGTCGAAATGCCCCGTTCCCCATGTATTACATCATCAATCAATCAAAATGCAGGTCTGACTGCACTATTAAAACCTTTCAGATTACGCCATCCATCAGCAGTGACACTCCTTCCTTTCCTCTGCAATATCCCTGAGTCATATCGTTTTCCCAAGCTGGAATGGATGACTTGCCACTTATGAATGATCCTGTTCATGCTTACCAGGCTGCTGAAATAGGCCGATAGCGAGATGTGTCAGATCCAGAAGCCAGTGCGTGTCTGTGTGTTGATGACATGGAAATTCATGCATGGTATATGTCCTTTCTTAATAGTACACCTGAGTAACCATTTGAGTTACTTGAGATAATTGCGATTCCTGGGGGTGGTCTCAGTGGGTTAGGCCTTTGTGTCTGTGGTCAGAAGGTTGCCGGTTCGACTCCCATCGTCAACAGAATAGTTACACGTGTTCTGGGCCCTTGAACCAGGCTCTTAACCCTGCCAAAATGCTCCAGGGGCACCCGATAAAGCGTAAAGCTTCCCACTCCACTGCCTCTCTCTCTCTCTCTCATAGGCAGTTGAATGGGAAGCGATATATATATAGTGCGTTTGATAGTGCTGTCAAACAATTAAAATTTTTAATCAGATTAATCACAGGGTTGCTGTGGATTAATTTCGATTAATCACAATTAAATATCATTCATTTTTAATCTATATTAATCACATTTAATTTTGCATGAGCAAACAGACTCAAGAAAAAAGGGAATATATATGCACTTAACATGTTTATTGAACATCTTGAACATCTTGAACAGATAAGTTGGACGGTATAGCGTGTGCGACCAATTTAATGAGCCACAAATGAGAAGTAGTGCTTAAACAGTATAAAACTACAACTTTCCCTTCTGTTGATAAAGGCATCTTGGATTCTGAACTCGGGATCCTCTGTGCTGCTCCGAGATATTTCTCGGATCTCCGAGAAACGGGAGCGCATGTTGTCACTTCCGGCTTCAAAACTCCGGAATCCGACTCGGAATGCGAGTTCCGAAGGCAAATGGAACGCACTAAAACTGCCCGAAATGGGTTGACAGAGACATTTCAGGGATTTTGAATAATTCTGTGCTGCAGATGGGTTAATTGCATTAAAAATTTTAATCAGATTAATCATGATGATGGATTAATCCGCATTTACCTGTTAATTTTGACAGCCCTAATATATATATATATATATATATATATATATACACACACACACACAAACGTATACACATATATATATATATATATATCTATGTGTGTGTGTTTCTGTGTGTCTCAGAGAACAGCAAGATACATGAAAAAGGAGCATTCCAATGTACTTGTGCAAATGGAAAGTGAAGCATCTTTTCATAATTAACATAGCTGTTTGCCTCATAACTTTTCCCACAAGTTTGTAGACAGTGAAAACAAGTTCAAATTCAAATTTGTGGTCCACATTCATCTCTGTTTGTGTTGCACAGCCAGTGGGATGAGGCCATGACCTGTGTTCTTTTATTAATAAAGTAATCTTAATAAAGCCACCCACTACCAAGTGGGTGGGCATGTTTGTTTAAAGCTTCTGCCTCTTAAAGGGTACTTTCCAATAAGCATTTTTTTAATTTGAAATTTATCTGAGCAAACAAAATGTGACCTGGAATGATGGCAGCAGAAGACAAAGAGGTAGAGCGGGAACAAACAACGTCCTTCAGGGCGAAAAGGAACAAAGTGTGGTGACCAGCGATGGAAAGAAGAAAAAAACAATTGAAATGATATTACTGTTTCCATGGAGAACAGCACAGATTTCAAGTGCTCTCGTGCTCTTCATGTTACAGGGCAAACAATGGTCTCGTTACACGGGGCAAAACAAACATAATATATTTCATAGTGGGAATGACAGGAGAAACAAATCAATACAGATAAAAGTGGTGACCTGACTTTCCCTCCTGAGATGGACGGTGGCCTTGCAGGGTCAGAATGAACGTAGCACTATCGAGAAGCAAACGTTATTATTGGACATGGACTGCAAGCAATCAAAAGTTGTTTTGGCGGTGATTTTTTCCTGTTTTGATCATCCAATTGTCTTAACGTGCTTTGTCCTTTTTCTGTCCTAATTCATCAGTCATTGTATAGTAAGAATCAGGCGTGACTAGATTCCGTTGTATTGGGCAGCCTGAATAGCATCCTGAGGAAGGAGATATTACTCAGCACACAAGCTGTCGATGTAAGTGGGCCGCTGACATTACAGGCGTAACGATATTTTGACAGACTCGTAGACGTGCTCGAATGAGAAAGGGTTTGACTTGGAGGATGACGAACCACAAAGTTTGTACGCTGAGCCACCACTGCGAAATAACGCAGTCTCTGTTTTGCTTTCAGGAGCAACAAAAGGTTATATAACGAAGATTAAAAATATATATACTTAAATAAGTAGAAGTCAAACCTCACTAACCTTAGCTATGACAACCATACATCAGTTCTATAAAATAATCATTATTCAACCCTACATTTTTTATTGAAAAGAAAACCTGAATTGAGAAAACTAGAGGCTACAGCAGTGTTTCTCAATCCAGTCCTCAGGGATCCACAGACAGTCCACATTTTTGCTCCCACCCAGCTCACAGCGCACTTGTATCAGGTATTCAATGCTCATGATTGGCTGGGAGCTGGAAGGAAGCAAAAATGTGGACCGTCTGAGGGTTCCCAAAGACTGAATTGAGAGACACCGCGCTACATATACAGTATAGGAGCCAAATCTGTACAGTATTATCACATTGTAAATTTGTGCCAGGTATTAGCCCACTAACTGGTCACCACAGTCGTAGGATTAACACCAGTAAACCACAATCTTTGGTCATGGAACATGACATACATAACAGGAGGAAATGTCAGTTATGCTTCTTTCTTTGCTTTCGTACTTGTGACGGTGATGTGACGACATTTATATTAAATGTATAAATGCTGGCACGTCATTTACGGCACGGCACGCTGGGCTGTTTTAAGCGGATATCTGGCATAAGGCAGATAGCGCTGTAAAACAGCAAGCTCTCCTTTTGCATTTCCCCCATTATTACCCAGCACAAGATGTTCCTTTTGGGACAGAAGCCCTAAAGTGCAGTCGGTTGAGAATTTACACCCTGGTTTTATATGCTAGCGGTGTTTCTCTCTTGGTCACTAATCCCCTGAGCGTGGATGTGTTATATAAGGAGGGAGG